TTTAAACGAGTGAAATTGCTAGATTTCCTTTACTATGTTTGGTGGTGTTTGTAAAGAAGCAGCGAACTTTCCTTTCTGTTGTGATGTTTCACGGAGGAAAAACCTTAATTTTTAAAAAGGACTGTTTTCATTGTAGTTGTGTTTATATTTGCTGCCTGAACTTTGCACTTAGCTCGTGTGTTCGATCTTTTGTTTGTTCCTAGAACTGCCATGAGCTTGAAAAAATGGACCTGGAAGAGTGCGTCCAGGTAGGAGGTGCCACCTCTGGCTGTTACTTTTTTTTTTAGCACAGTCACAGCTGTGTGGAAAGATCGTGAAAAAGTGGATTGTCAATAAACCAGAACTTGATTTAGAATCCTGAGCAAGGAGATCGGATATATTTGGATAAGAAAATACTGCTTTTGTAGTTTGATCCTTTGTTCATATTTCATAGTAACGAACGCTACTGTAAATAATAAAAGAAATCTTTAATAATAATAGATATGTCCTGAAGGTCACGTCATAGATGTGTGAATTGTGACCCTTGGCACAAGATAAAGTCCCAGGGTAAGATCTCTGCGCATAAGGCGAGGTTTGTGCTGCACATATTGCTAGAAATAATGGAAGTTACCTGTTTTGAAGAAAACATAGCCCGGTTGTTTGAACAGCAATGATTTTATAGAGGACGTGGCAACAACTTGAAATAAAACTGGCGTGCCCATGCTACCATTAGCCTTCCTCAAAGGCAGTGGGATGTAACGTAATGAGTCTGTTATTGCTGCGTCTGCAGCTGTCTTCACTAGTTTTAAGGAGGTCTCTCGTAGGTGACTATACGCTGTTCTGTAGGGTATGTGCCGTAAGCTGATAACCATCTCAAGGTAGCATTTACAGGGGAAAACAGCTGAATTTACTCAAGATCCCATGAAAAATCTCGAACCCGAAGGCTAGATTTGAAATTGATTCAGATAAAGACAGCGGAGATAATAGGATTTTGCTTCCTGCCATGAGAACAGCGTGACCCCAGTATTCTGTGCTTCCTGATGTTTACAGGGCAGAAATTCAGGAGATCACAAGAGGAAATTACAATAGTCCAGACAGGAAGTGATTTAAAGTTAACCCAAAAAAGGAAGAAGAAAAATCAGGCTGTGTCCTTGGACTGACTGCATTGAACAAAGACAGCCCAGCGAGTTCCCTTCCGAATGCTTTTAGATTAGAAAGCCAGTGTGTTGAGTCTCTTTCTTCCTGAAGAATAAAGAGGAACAACTCAGCAATCCACCAAGGTGTTGGCAGGGGATTTGAACACCTCTTGTACTTTCAGAGACAAACATTTAGGAGACATTGGGGTGTTGAAGAGGTCTGCTCACTTGCTTCTCTTAAGTGTGAGCTTATTTCGTGAGAGCTACTTAAGGAAGTTAAAAAAAAACAATACCTACGTCTTAGTGGTCCTTTAAGGACATCAGTTGATTTCTATGAGGGAGCGGAAGAATCTGTACATCTGAAACTTGGTCACGCAGGAGATGAGTTCCTGAGGGGCTGAGGAGAGTGACTGTGGGGAACACTGTCATGGATAAGGCAAAAGTTTGCAGTTTTTCTTTCATGGGGGGGGAAAAGTCCTTGTGCAAAGCACCCAGCATGAAAGGGCTTTTTCTTTTTTTTCCAGATAACAGACAGTACGCTAATCCAGCTTTCCATACACTGTCCACGGCTTCAGGTTCTGGTGAGTATTATAAGTGAGACTTTCAGCATTTTCTTTCTATAAACAAAGGGATCTTAAGCACTGCCCGTGGGGATTTGTCTCTTTGACTTCATAGACATGTTGCGAAGGCTTGGAAGAATTCAGCTAGAAACTTGACCCTGAAGAATCTATTGTCCCTCCCCTACCGCTAGCATTAATCGTGCGCCAGGCACCCACAGCTGCCTGAAAATGAATTCTAGGACACTGGATTCTCCTGGTACCAGCCTCTGGCTGTCCTCAGCAAGCCTAGCAGAATCTGTCTACAAACTGGGCTGTCAGTCCATCTGTAGGAGAGGAGACTGCAGCCCTTCTCACCCGTAGTGTGGAGCTGGGCAACTGAGACCTGGAAAGCTTGTTGGCTCTGGAAAGCAATGTTCCTCTTGGTCTAAATTTCTGGGAATTTAGTCGCGGTCTCCTCTGCATCCCTGCGTGTACTGCTCCGTTGTCATCATTGGAGAACCTGTCCTGGGAGGTGGGGGGGATGCAGTCAGTGGGTTCCCCTGTGCAGCCATTCCTTCTGCACGCTGTGCCCCTCACCAAAGCAACAGGCTAATGCTATCTCCTAGCTCGAGCCCCGCTTCCTCCTCAAGAACTTTTAAGATGCAGCCCCCCAAAAAAATGTACCAAGTAGGTGATGACGTATTTCTGCTAGTTCTTAGACCCAGTGACAGGGTCCCTTCCATGATTTTACGAAGATGGTTTCTTCGATAGCAGAGATAAATATTCCATTTCTGAGCTGTCCTGTCTCCTGGCCCTGTGGGTCTCGCCCTTCAGCAGCAGCCTTTCCCACTGCACTTCAGCTATGAGTCTTCCCCCCCACGTTAGCCATTGGAGGCCCATGGAGCCCGGTGCCTGGAGTCTGAAACTCAGCAGTGGCTCCAGTGCAAGGAGAGACTATAGACCTCCAAAACACCAGCGTGGCAAACCAGTCCAAACTTAGGAAATGCGGGCCGTCTTCTCACTCGTCCCAGGGTGCCCCCCGGCAGGGTGTTGGCTTCTGCCTGCCTATGGCAGAGGCTGCTAACTTGCTCTGTTTGGATGCAGAGTTTGTCCCACTGTGAGCTGATCACGGATGATGGGATTCGTCACTTGGGAAACGGCGCCTGCGCGCACGACCGCTTGGAGGTGATCGAGCTGGACAACTGCCCTTTGATCACGGATGCCTCCCTGGAGCACCTGAAAAGCTGCCACAGCTTGGAGAGGATAGAACTGTACGACTGTCAGCAAATCACGCGGGCAGGGATCAAGAGACTCAGGGTAAAAAAAAAAAAAATAATAATTAAAACACCGCTAAGGCTGTGACTTGAACGCTTTATCTGGTGGGGAGGAGGGAGGGCTGAGGTTTCGGATTCCTCGTGATCTGGTGCTCATTCTCAAAAGTATTGTGAGAACCATAATCTATGGAATTGATAGCTGTCCTGCACTCAGAAGTTTGGATGGGGATGAACGCTAGCTGGCAGGGAAGAGATATAATTGCTGCGTCCACTGAGTAGCAGCAGAAAGGAACAGAGGGGACCCAGCGTGCGAGTGCTCATTTTACAGGCACTCGTACGTGACAGTGCTCTGCTAAACGGGGGGCCAAGAGGTAGTGCCACAGCAAATGTGTCGAGTGGCACCTCCTCTCGACTACTTCATATGCTCGGCGTAGGCTGTAGTGCACTTCCCATGTAAATAACTCAAGCTAATCCTGTCATAGAGTCGGTCTGCTGTAGGGAAGGTTGCGTGTCCTTGTGAGTGGGACAGAGCCAGGGCCGCTCTGTCACTAGCTGCCGCTCAGCTAAGGCACTCTGTGTCCCAGCGATTCCCTCCCGAGTCTGTTTCTCCATCTGTAAAAGAGGAGTGCCGATAACAACATTTTATTTGCAAAGAGAACACGGATCTGCACAGTTAGACGTTGTTCTGTTCCCCACAGCTACCACAGGATTAATGGGGAGGAAAGAGCATCATTTTTTCTTATTCCCTCTGTTTTCTGGTAACAGAAAGAACTTGCTAATCCGCAGTCTGTGGGGAAATCACGCTGGTGAACTGAAAGAGTTCGACTCCAGTTCTTATGTGTGTGTGTTAGTTTGTAGTCTGAAGGCAAGTAAGCCAGGCTGCTTTCAACTTCTCTTTGACTCTTGCCCTGCCACTGCCCCTGTCACTTTACACGCTGTGTTTGTCTTTTCAGACCCATTTACCCAATATTAAAGTCCATGCCTACTTCGCGCCTGTGACTCCACCTCCTTCGGTCGGGGGCAGCAGACAGCGCTTCTGCAGATGTTGCATCATCCTATGACACTGGAAGTGGTCATCCTCGCAAACTGAGTATTTAATTACACTTGTAGAATTACGGTGGACACCAGTATCTTCAAGGAAAGCGATGCCAGTGTCATTTGCAAGGGCCAGTGAGCAGGGCTGTGGTGCCAGGCCCCTGTAGCCACCCATACACATACATATACACACCCCACCTGTTCCAGCAAACCGATGAACTCTGCAGCATGGGAGCTGGAGCTGCGTTGGCGTTTTCTGTAGGTGGATTGGTATAATTCTGAACCATTCCTACTGGGCATGCTCAGATGAAATCATTGCGGTAAGGAGGGGAGGTTTTTGCGAACCCAGAATGACTGTTGCTGCTGTTGAGGTTGGAATAGTAACTGAAATCCTTTGAAATGGGGAGAGGGGAGAGGAAAGGAACATGCTTTAACCCTGCCTCCGTTGTCCAGAAGGGGGGGGGGAACCAAACCTGAAAATCCCAAGAAGCTTTGTGTCCATTTTTCAGTGAGGGAATGAAACAGCAGCTGTTGTGAGACATGATTTACTTGTGCTTCTCTACTTCCCGTTCCCTGCTGACCACCCTGAGCATGCTCACATTGAAGGTTCATCTGTTTCTTCTGTGTTCTGTAGCATCGAGCTCAGAGGCTTCCTAGATTGTTGTGGTATAGCTTGAAATCTGTAACGTCCGGCTCGGTTTTTTACCCTCCCTACATCCTGCTTTTTTTTTTTTACAGATTTCTAATTCAGTAATTTTTTTGAGATTTACCAAACAAAAGTTATGAATCAGTAATTTAAATATAAAACAAGTACTTTTTACCATTAGAAGCCTGAGCCCGTAATGACCTGTACGGAAGATTTTTGAAAGGCAAGTGAGCTGCACCACGGGCTAGGCTCTGGTAGGCTTCTTGGCCTGTTTTTATCAACGATTGGGTGTCTGAATTTGGTTTGCATTTCAGGTTTTATCCCAGTGACCAGAATATAACTCTTGGTATAGGG